TGGACGAAAAACGTGCAGACAGGGAGCTTTTCCTACCGGGCTGCTGAAAGGACCGTAAGTCTGTTCCCAATACTCGATCAGAAGCTTGAGTGTGTTGTTCTTCACCGTATCTGTGGATCTCAAACGGATGCCAGTCTCGGGGCACGTCCGGTTGCCTGCTGCAAAATGATGTGATATGGCAGCTTCTTCGTAGCTCACTCCTGTCTCTGCAACGACTACCGGCTCCACCATCACGCAATGCCCCAAAGGACACAAAAATTGAGGGGGCATAGGTACCTCAGCGGGTTTGGGCTGCACGTCTTGTGATTCAATGACAGCCATTATCTGCTCGAGATAGAATTTCTCCAGATCGTCCTTTTTATGTACCGCTGTGTAGATACCACCAGCAACCTCGCTGCAAAGTATCTGCAGCTCTTCCTGCAACAAAAAGGGAGGCATTGTTAACTTTGCTCACGTGATGTTGAGCACGTTGTACACAAAACTCAAATCGGCTATCATCGCCGCTTTCCAACTCGACTTCTGCTTTACATGCGAATGGTACAGTTCCCGATTTAAGTGTCCGAAGTACGTACTACTTACAGCATTATTTCTTATTTTACATGCAGGCTCGCTAATTTACATGCACGCATGTTTGACGGATGCCTTTAATATAAGAGTTGCATTTTTCGCTGCCTGAAGTGCAAGAATTTCTATATACCTTATTCAATTTTCCTTATATTTGTAGATGAAAAAGCGAATCCCATCCAGTGATACATGCAGCGGTTGGATTAAGTACATTTTCTGTCCTTGAAACGACCTAAATGCAAAAGCATATGAAAATGAATTCTGGTGTACAATGAACAATAGAGGAATATCAGCAATACGTACAGCAATTAAGCATTCCACGTTGTGTTTCTGCCTCAAGCTCACCTCGTTCTCCACTTTACCCACAGCCTTTTCCAGAATTTGGGATAGCCTTTTCTTTCCCTCGTTGTGCGATATTCTGCCGTTGTAAATCTGCTCCATCGTCCTCTCCATATCCTGGTGGTATTTCAGCTCATGGCGTTCCAGGTCCAGTTGGTAATCCACTTTGTCGAAGCCTATCTTCGCCGACTTCAGCATGTCAGCGATCTGTTCTGTTCGCGTCATTTGCCGCTCAGCCAGCGCCAACTGCAGTACTGTGGTGTCACAGATATTTTCAGAAACAAAGGTGCCCAAAGGTGCGCTGTGCACGCGCGCAACAGAGCACAGACTAGACCAATAGTTCATGCATTTCACAACGTTTTGATTTCATGTTACAGTATTCTGTATTCAACTTTGCTGCATCCACTGCCACCAAGGAGTGTCCAAATTGCCATGCAGTCCCCCACTTCATCACAATCCATCGTCCTAATTTGCATCTGCGGCGGGTGCAAAGGCTACCTGGGCTCCAACAATAACCAACATTCGATTCTATACTAAAAGAGGGAACCAATTAGGAAGAGGCAACATATGTACTAGCAGTTGCTGGCGACAAGCATATTTCATATATTCACCAGCGAATTGTCCCCATTGGAAACATTTCTCAATTTGCGAAGTCAATGCATTGAGCGCCATATTCCACATACACAACTTGTTCTTCATCCGTGAAAACCCCATTCTAATACGCGCGCCCATGAGCCTAGGACAACTGAGCTGGCTCAGGAGCACCGGTGCTGCCAATTGAGACTCTGAACCTGAGAGCCCAGGTGTTGCGAGTTGAGCTCACTAGGAAAAAAAGGACCAAACAACACTTTTGCAAACACACATAAAACACATTTTATCAAAGTTCTGCACGCTAAGAACACAAAAATAACACAAACCCGTAAACTTTGCACACGTTTGAACACGTGTTATTTGGCCCTTTTTTCCTAGTGGCTAACCCTGCAGGTTCTGAACGATGTTGTCCAGGATCTGTAGTATTAGTTTCAATAACCCGGTTTATCCAATCAAAAGAATCAGTCTCGATGCAAATGACGAAGCCCGCGCTCTTTGACATTGATGGGACACGAGCGGGCAGACCGTACCGTGCATCGATTGGGTTACTTTTGATGTGACTGCGTAGAACTCGTCCCTCACGCTGCTGGCTCTGATGAACTTGATGAACTTGGTCATGTTGCCAGCGCGGAGGATCAAGTCTTTGGCTTCCTCCAGAGCGCCCTTGAGAGCATCCAGGCCCCTCCTCATCCCAGGCGTGCGTTGGACATTGTTTTGAATCAGGGCTTGAATGGTCGGCTCCAATGCTTCGATGTGTGTTCCCAGCTGGCGGCATTTCTGTTTGTTCTCTTTCACCCGGTCATACTGCCTTTTCAGATCCTGTATCAGGTTGATAGTGTCCCGCAAGACAGAGAGGTCCATGTCCCTGAAGAAAAGCAACACAAGGCATGAGGCAACTTCGACCCCGTTTCTTGGAGTTCGGAATCACACGTGTCGAAAATGAGGCCAAAGATGGCCCACAGTGATCAAAGAGGAGCGCAGCAGCAGTTTACACCATAAATCATGCTATTGACCCATGGTCGTTACAATATCGACCAACTTTTGGCACATCTATCTCTTGTCGTTCGGCATTTGATAATTCGCACCAAGCCCACAAGCCGGAACACACAAGGCTACATTCAGACAATATAGGGCCCGCGCATTGCACCTGCTCAGATTGAAGGCGCATCGCGTTAATTAATCAATTGTCCTTCACGGCAATCTCTTCACAATGCGGTCCGCTCCAATGCTCAAGGGCCAGAGCACCTTACATTCCCGTCCCGGTCGTCTCAAGGGAGGTCCTTGAGCTCCCGGAACCGCAAACGGCCGTTCGGCTTTCAGATGGGTGGCCAACTCGCCGCCCTGACTTTCCTACACCCAGACCCCCGTCCCACCGTTTCAGGCGTGAAAAAGCGACAGTGGGGCTGGTGTGGTGGCTCAAGCGGCCTGCGAGGGGTCTGCCAGCAAAGAAACCCTAAAGTTCGTTTCATCGCCAGCCTAACGACTCAATAACCGGCTTGTGCAGGCAGGACAGCGACCACCCCTGCATCCGATGGCTTGCGGGAGCAGCAGGGCTGTGTGATGCCTGCACATATTGTATCCCAGTGAGTTCGCCCTTGGCGTTTGGAGGTCTCAGCTGAGACCCTGCAGGGGTCAATGGTTGCTTATCAGAGGTTGATGGTCATCCTTCAGTGGGCTTGGCAAACCGACAAGAAGGCTTCTTGGTTTATGTGCCTGCCAGGAGTGCGCCCGCCAACCTGGGTATTCCCTCGCCCAAAAGGGACCCGCGACGTGGGCGCGAACAGTGCCGACTTAGTTGCCCTAGGCTACTCACCACTGGCACCACCACCAGCCATCTCGCAACCAACGCAACGGTTGTTCAAACTAGAATGCCTATTCTATTGCCACCCTCACGCTGGCATCAGACTTTCCGGGTGCTGAACTCGGCATTCTGCGCATTTGGCTCTGGGAAACACTGCGGTTGCTGCTTGTCACCTGAATCTCCAACAGATTCGTCACCCTCACCCAACCGCTTGCCCAGCGGGCCCCCTCCGAAGATCTCGTGGCCTTCGATCGGTGCGGAGACGCCAAGGAGACACGGTCCCTGGGGACCTCCCGGGAAGGGGCGGAGTCCGCTTGCCGCAACGCCTCCGGCTGCGTGCGACGGACCTTTCTGGCGACGCTGTGCACTGGACGCGAAGGTGCAGTACATGGCGGCGCTGGCTCCCGGAAGGCGTTCCGGACGTGGTAATCCGGGAGTAGTGGCGCCATGTGGAAGAGGGTGGACCCCATTCCCCCTCACTTCCAACCCCTTGCCAGTCGGAGACTGGCGTGTGGTTGGAGTCAACAGCTTGTAATGCTGATTCACACGTACAGCGCGGTGTGCACGATTAGTGGACTTTGTGTCAGAGCCGCCGAAGGACAGTTGCGCGCTGGAGATCGAGAAGAACAGCCCGGAGGCAATCAATCCAGAGCGACCATGCCGACAACAGGCACACAGCCTGACGGCCGGCGATGAAGCTGGGGCCACGTCTGCAGGTACCGGCATGCACTACACCCGGCCGCCATGCAGCTGTACAAGAAGGGGCCGACGCGATTGGAAGGGTCCATACCACATTTGCGGACAGCTCTCCTTCCACCTGTGCCGAGGCGCGGCAGCCAGCGTCGCCCCAAACAGGTGAGGGCGCGCTTGGGCAACCGCCGTGCCAGCAGGGCAGAACCCCAAGCAACAGGACATTCGTCTTCCTTGCGCGAGTGATGGGGCACCGCTTGCCGAGGGCAGGAGGTCTCCAATGGGAAGGTGGCACTGCCCTGCCCCAAGGATCCGACCGGTCGCTTCAGTCCTGCTTCCGCCCTTGCTGCCATGTGAATAGCCTGTTCATCGATTGCGGTGCCATTGATCAGCGGCCTCCAGAGGCCACGGACATAGGAGATCAAGACAAGCTCTGTGTTGGCCCTTGTGGGTAGTCGCCGGTACCCACATTCGTTGTTGACTTCTGTCGCTGCCCGAAACCTCTGATACGTGTCCTTTGCGCTCCGCCCTGACCGTGGATGTAAGGCCTGCGTTGATGTGTTCGCGCCCGAGGCGGGCGCGGCACAGGCGTTTATAGGCCACTAACCTCGTAGCCACGTTGTTCTCCGATCATCCATGGAAGCTAGTGTGATGGTGGTTGAGCCCTGTGTTGATGCTCAGCGTGCCTGATGCATTTGGCCACAAAAGTCTCAAACACACTTCGGATACCCAAATTTGCTCTTTCCTGGGTATCGTGCGTTCCCTGTCTGGCGGCTGAGGCCTTAGGCGGTTGAACCCACTTGCAATCCCGCAGTGTCGGGGAACATAATACGACGACATGAAGTTCCATAGAACCTCAAACGCTGTATTCACCACGGGCTGTCGCGGCTGAATAGCGGTGCTGCGCCTCCCGCAAACAGTCTGGAACAAAATGTTGCTGGATTTGGGTTGTGGGTGAAGAACACAAGTCCGAGCTATCCAATTCTTACGCTCGTCGTCAAGCTTGAAGGAATTGATGGTTGATAAGAGCGGTGCACAAAAGAACGCAGATTGCTGTGGGCATAACACTGCCACTGTCGGTGTAGGTGCGGCACCACTCGACCCAAGCAGCGCGGGAGGGCAGGCTGCCAGAATTCCTTGCAAGGGCACAAAGAAAGGCATGGATGCTCTGAAGGAGGGAGCCACGGACAGCGGAGCCCCCACTGGGTGGCCTTCAAACGGCCGGTGAGTTGCGGAGCGCTAGCCACGTTGGATAATACCTACGAGAACTTGGAGTCCGATAGGTTGACGGCGTCAATGGTGTGGACGTATTCCTCAATCTGCCATAAGCGTTCCCTGGTGCGTTTGCGCAGTAACGTATTCACCCATTTGGAATGCTTCGCTGCCTTGTTGCCTCCCGTTGCCGACAGTTTGCATACCTGTGGAGGAGGTGAATGTGTGCTCCCCATGGCAGAACGTGGGATGACGGTGTGCTCCCAACAGGACTTCCCGCAATCTCTAAGTAGATTCCAGAGCCTACTCCTCTGTTGCGCAGAAATTAACCCTTCTGCACAGCCACAATCAGCGTCAACAATTTCTAAGTAGATTCCAGAGCCTACTCTGTTGCGCAGAAATTAACCCTTCTGCACGGCCACACCCAGCGTCAACCTTTTTCCCCTTTCTGCCGAACGAAGCAGAATTTAGACCACGGCGTTCCAGAGATGTGGCGAGCAAAAACCTGGTTGAAGAGCGACGCACAAATTTCCCACGCTCCGCATCTGCTCCGGCAACGCCCTGTGCGTTGGCAGCCGCCGCCTTTCCAGGCCACGCTGGTGCAGCGGAGGACGCAGACAGGCGGCAGCCTTGCTGGGTGCCGCCCAACACTCAAAAAGACACACATCGGATTGCCTCAAAGTCTCAATGCGGATGGAGGAGCTTGACCGTGGACCAGCCCCACGACGCGTGGCCGTCAGATCCAACGCCCTCACATACCAGGGGCCAGCGGTTCGTTGCGAGGCCTGCGCGGGGAAGATCGAACGCGGGGTGGTCGCCGTATTTCAAGAACCCAGATGAATGGGGAAGTTATCTGTCCATCAATGCCTGACACTGATCAGCCTGAAGCCCACTTTCTGGGTGCTTTTGCTTGCATTCGCTGCATTGCTCTGGTGCTCGCGACTGTTGGTACCCTTTAAACGCAAGGAGCGGAGGCCCCAGCGGTGATTGCGAGTAGAAAACGTCCTAGGGCTGCGGGTTTGTCAGCAAGAAAGCAGAGATTCAGCGCAACTGGTGCGGCGGCTGCCCACAAGCATATCATAACCATTCCAAGACATCCTTCGCTACTTTCCAATCTAGCCTTGGACATACGACTCAACAGGGACACAGTGCATCCACCTCAAAAGCCACTGCGTCTACGTCTGCGGAAATGAACTGCGCGATGCTCAGGCTGTGTCGTCTTTGATCTGCGCCCGCCGGGGACCATGGCTGGTCGATCCCCTTTAGCACCGGAGTTTCAACGCACCTTTCGAGGGCATCCAGAAAATGCCTGTGGGCCCCTCCAAGACGCCACGCAGCTCGTTACCTGCTTCTGCAGTCCCTCCAGACGCAATACTGAACGATACCAGGGGTTGACGATGTTCATTTGGCAGAATACCCAGGAACAAACACCGTCAACAGCGCTGTCAAACTGCCGACAGGCTTGGAACGCAGCGTTGTCTGTGACCGGGCTGATTGCCATGGAATGTTTGTTCCAGCCCAAGTCATGCTGGCGAAATAGTGTGCATCGCAAAACTGCTGAACAATGTGGTTTGTGATTTTAGGCTTGGATTGTTTGTAAACGTTTCCATTTGAAGAAGTTGATAAATGGACATTGGGCGGAGATGTTCACACTAGCGTAAAATTCAATCGAGCGCTGTGCTTGCTGCCCAACATTGTTGCATACTCAATGTTGTCCCCCTGTGTTTGCTTTTCACCAGGCAGGCTGGTTCATACCCTGCTCTGGATGCCTAAATTGCCGTTCAAATTTCCCCCTGTTCTTGAAATGGACGATGTTGCGTTGCTTCTGATTTAGCCTTGTGGGCATTCGCAATCTGCAGGGAGGATGCCGCTGCCGACCGCCCTTGCTCTTCCCCATTCTTCTGCTTCGGTTGCCCGAACGGAGACAATCGTATCTCATTCGTCGAGCAGGATTGGGTGGACTTGGAGAAGAAGATCACAAAGGCTGGAGACAGCGGCCTGCTTGGTGGTATGACTGTTGTCATCAGGGAGCTGCGCGAGCTTTTCAAGAACAGGAAACTCATGGTCACCGACAGTAGAGCCGGCAACGTGTACGAGGTCGTTCTCCCTATAGTGACTGATGGCACTCGCTTGGCCAACGCCCTCGAGCGGATGCGAAAGATGAAGACAAGGAACCAGACTGAGGCGCAAGCAGTCCTCGAAGAGGTGTGCACCGAATGGCGGGCGATTTGCAACGTGCAGGATGAAGCAGTCAGAGCTGAGAAGGACAGAGATATTCAACAGCTCACAACGGAACTCCAGAACGTTCTAAATCAGGCAGACAATCTGAGGGCGGCAAAGGAGACTGAAGCGCAGCAGCTCAGAAGCCAGATTGTACAAGTTCAGAAGCAAATGAAAGAGCTCAAGGTGGCAAAGGACGGCGAAGCCCAGCACCTCAGAAGCCAACTTCAGAACGCTCTAAATCAGGCAGACAATCTGAGGGCGGCAAAGGAAACTGAAGCGCAGCAGCTCAGAAGCCAGATTATACAAGTTCAGAAGCAAATGGAAGAGCTGAAGGTGGCAAAGGAGGGCGAGATCCAGCAGCTCAGAAACCAGGCTCGGCAAGCTGAGAAACAAATGGACGAGCTGAGAGCCCAGAAAGTGCAAACTGACGGTGACAATGTTGAAAAAGGCGAGGAAATCAAGCGCCTGAGTGGCGATGTCGCGGTCTTGAGAAGCGAGAACGACAGGCTTCGGAGGGACTTGGCTGTCCCTCCCCCTCAGCAGACGCCACCGATGCCCCACAGCAATCTCTATGTTGGTCATCTGCCGGACTGGCTTGAGAGCAAAGAGCTGAGCGAGCTCTTCGCGCGATTTGGCACGATCACTGCCCACTGCGTGATGCCTGCAGACAAGAGTCACGAGCACAAGTACGGGCTTGTCGAATTTGCAACCGTGGAAGAGGCAGCTACGGCAATACGGGAAATGCACGGATATGCCATAGGCGACCAACAACTCGAGGTGAAACTAGCCAACAAACCGCGGAAAGAGGCTCCCAGGAAGTCCCCCACCGGAGGACCAAGGAAGCTTTACGTCAATGGATTTCCTCCCGACTGGAAAACGAGGGACCTGGAGCAGCTTTTCAGAGGCGTGGGCACAATCACAGATATCCGTGTGCTCCAGAGCAGTGAATCGAACAAGGGACCGTTTGCCTTTGTCATGATGTCAGGGGCAGACGAGGCAGCAAGGGCAATCGAGATGTGGAACCGCCGCACACCGCACGGATGCGTGGGGCCTATTGTGGTGGAGTATTCCCGAAATTGATACCTGTTCTGAGTACGCACTATTTCTGAAAAAAGGTTTCTTGGCGAAATGTGGTCTGGCAGCTCGATAGCAGCTGTCGATGATAAGGCAGTTGGCACCATGCGTGTTTGGCATTTCGAAACTGCTTGTGACCCGAAGCGGCTGACAGTGTGGAGGTGCAGCACATGTGGTGTGGCGCAATTGTGTATATTGGAAGTACTGTGCCCGTCGCCGCATACATCTGTTGAAAGACATGGGAAGCAGCTGAGTTTCCAGCATGCAAACGCACCGTGCAGCTTCAAAATTTGGAACCCACAGGCAAAGATTCGATATGTCAGAAAAGGGGAGAGGCCGAATCTTCAGTGTCTTGGATTCGGATTAGCCGGCACAATAGCACCGCCAGTGGTGGTCTGATGAAGTTTGCAATTCCTTCCAATCAATCTTCTGATCGGATACGCATTCTCGATTGTACACGAAAAGAGAACGGTCTGTATATGGGGAGGCTGCATATGGCGGCTTTCATGATTCGTATCGCCAAGCATTCACACAGATCTCTTGTTTGCATGCACGTGTGGAAGTGGTTTGGCCAATTCTGATCAACTATTTGAGACTCTAGAATCATCGACGTGGCATTCTCTCGTTTTCGGGATTTAAACTAGCTGCATAGAGAGTAGCGTCTTCTGCCGTACTGCCGATGTGATTTTTGGCACGGGACGGGCAGTTGTGAGACACTGGCGGATCTGTAAACCCTGATGCACTCTTGTTATGCTTTGAGATTCTGCTGCAATGGGGCGACTTTGTAATTTTCATTCCCCCCTGCGGACGCAGACTCGAAAAACATCGACTCAGGCATGTTAAAGCATATCTGCTAAAGGCTGGGCATAGCTATATTTTTGGTGTTGCACGTCCCCATGCCAATCATCTTGTGACCATGTGGATTGCCAGGAGAACGTATTTCGTACCGGAAACAGATGCTACAACCAAGCCACTCGAGTCCTCCAGTCGATGGACGCCCCCACGTAGCATTGTGTTTCTTTGACGGTGAGAATTCACGTCTAGAATCAACGTCGAGCAAGCTATTCGATTTCGCCTGCAAATCTACACCATATTTATTGGCCGAATTAACTCACCACAGGTCATTAACTAGAGAATGATGTATTGAATGAAATATTTCATTTCGGTCCCTTCAATTCAGCGCATGGTGATCACTCCAGTTCAATCCATTTCAATCCAAGCGAGCTTAACCCGAAAGTACGGGAGCGGCAGCTAGGCTGTTATTGTACTTCATCTTGAAATCTGGTAGGCGTTGATATCACATTGGCAGGCCATTGCAACAACGCCGCTCTACAGAGACGAGCTCTGAAGGTTTGCGTTGATCCAAGAGCTTACCAATGATGCATCAAAGCCTGCCAAATTTCTGGATGCACCTCCGGGCTGATAAGTTGATCGCTGATGCAGCATTTCTGGAACACTGCTCGTTTGTGATTGTTGCATCAAGATTCCTTGTTGGAGGGTTGATAAACGCCGACGCCAAGAACTATTGTTTCAAGGGCAGTTCACCAATATTGAGAGCCATTTTCTCAATGGCCATCTTGTAGCAACCCTCATCAACATTGCATCAACGCCTGCCGAACTTCCAGATGTTCCTTAAGCACAAGGGATGGGCTACTGACTAGAGGCGCTTCGAAGTATTTTGGTAAGCCAGGAACTGCTTTGGAATAGTTTTGCCGTTTGGGACAGCCAGGCAGCAGAAACCCGGTCCCATATGTTCCTTAATGTAGTCTGCGATTCTCTTAATATCTTTCCTTTCTATCTCCATCTCAGATCGACTGGCAGCACTTAGTGCTCAAAGCCTCCCGTACTCTCTTGTGAAAGCGTCTTCAAAACTTTCGTACTTTCGAACAAGAAATTCTGGAGTAAAGTCACGTGATTAATATCAGTAGCCTTGACTGCTAATCCGCTGAAATGTGTTTGCATATATATGACCGTTTAATAAATGAAAGCTGCATGCACTGCAGTCCTACTGAAGTAGAAGATCATGATGCATCTTGAGTTCATATATACATGCATGAATCGATGATATACACTGGCTGACAGCAAACCACTCATCAGCAAATAGGACATAACAGACAACTAGGTATATATGATTGATGACAACGACGCCAGATGTGGGCTCTTAAATATCAAATCTTGTACTTCCTCCGTCCGGAATTAATTTTCCTCTATGACTTTGGCGCCTTACTTCTCCATCATAGAAATATATTTCTCATTGAAATTTGTTGCAAAGCTGCGCCTACGTTTCGAGAGCATACAATCAAAATTTGAAGGCAATCCGTGGAGTATCGCGGGTCTGGCAGCTCTTTGTAGCAAGGGCCATCCAGCCAAAAATCCACCAGTTTTTCAGCATCCTTACTGGAACGGCCATTTTCGCTGTTTTGAGGAGCACGCCTTTGCGGCAGCGCTACAGAGCCGCCCGGGCGAAACTATCCATGCCGTTTGGACAGAAGGTCGTGGAGTTGTTTTCAAAGGAGAAGAGCAACCGAAAATGCGTCTGGAAAGTTCTGATCATCGAAGCCGCCATGTCTTGCGGCTGCAATTCAAGCTCAATTGGCCAAATCGGAGATGCCCATCGGGTGCAGATTCCTGGACCACGACTTTTGGACCTCCAACTCCACTACGAAGGATACTGCAAGAAGCCTCTCAAGTTCCTTCCAGACCTTTAAGAAAGTGGTTGCCATCACCCCATTCAGCGCCGGACATTTAGGGGGTAGTTTGGCAGTGGCCCTCCTGGACAGGAATGGTGAATCGACCATTTCTCAGCACTTGAAGTGGTTGAGCATGAAAAGATTAGCTAGATGGATGAAACTATGCCTCTCAAGGGGGAACTCACTTGCTGGGCAGCGATGGATTGTGGATTGCATGCAAGAGTTGGCAGATCGTGCAAGTTTGTGGGCTGTGGGCCAGCCTGCCCACAAATGCAACGATTCAAGCCTCAATCAAGGCAGATTGTCCAAGCAAGTCTACTACATAACCTTGGAACAATAGCTCGCACATATTTCAAGCTTGAATGCCTTGGAGCCTAGACTTGTCCACTTGCTTTACATCCACACGTCAAAGATCGGCGATGGCCGAGATTTCAGAAATCATCAAAACTATGATGATGGCCTTCCACGATAGGGATCCAAACACGCTCGAGCATATTTGGCAAGCGCTATTCCACGTAAGGGACGCCACCCTTCACGGCGGTAATGACTTGTCTTTGGCATACCTAGGACAGGAATGACCCAGAAACGTGCGGATCTCTAGCGGATGCGGAATCAGCATGCACATTTTTTGGACGAATTTCGGCCAATTTTGGGGCCCTCCAGAGGGGTGGGGCTAATTTTCTCTTGAAATTTGTAGCTAAGGGTTTTCAACTCAATCTTTCTGATTCTTGTGCTTTTTGTTAAATTTAAGGTGTTCTTTGTAAAGAAATTTGGCTCTCGAATAGAGGACAATTAATGCCGGACGAAGGAAGTACATCAAAAATGTTTTTTCTTTACAATTCTATCGGACGCTCAAGAATATGTGTAAGGATTTGATATGACGAAGCAAATGTTGGACGACTAAGGGATAATCTCCCATAGTGCTCATTCATGCCAATAATCTATCAGGCATACATCTTCTAGCTTGCACACACAAGTGGAGAACGAGCAACCCAAGGCGTGGAAGGGGTCATGAAAATGTCTTGAAATTGAACAACGGATTTGGGAGGTACGACTTCCCCGATTGCAGAAAACCTAAGAATGAGCCGAGAAAAGATAAATGAACCAGATCTTCTGTTTCGTGTTCCATGAAAATCAATAGCAGACTGCACCTCGAGTGTAGAAATTCCGCCAAGGAACCAGAGAAGCTTGTCAGCGTGAAGGGCTCCATTCGTGAAAGGAAGTGTTCGAGGCATTTGTAAGAAACCAGCGATCAAAGCTGTCTTACATCTGGAAATGCATTGTGATATATAAACATTGCAGAGGCTGCCTCTGACTTTCGAAATTCGCTCATCAGTCTGTGGAAATATATTTAATTTCACGCGCTTTTGTTCCGCTTCTGTTTTTTGCGACCGGCCTTGCATCTGGGCCGTCTGTGGTAACATATTTAATTTCACGCGCTTTGTTCCTCTTCTGTTTTTTGCGACCAGCCTTGTAACTGGGCCGTCTGTGGTAACATATCTAATTTCACGTGCTTTTGTTCCGCTTCTGTTTTTTGCGACCGGCCTTGCATCTGGGCCGTCTGTGGTAACATATTTAATTTCACGCGCTTTTGTTCCGCTTCTGTTTTTTGCGACCGGCCTTGCATCTGGGCCTGGGCCGGTCTGGGGTCAGGGAGTCCACCACCGATTTCAGCGCCGACGCCGCAGAGGCCAAAAGTACACAGCCAATTCCGCACCCACGGCAGCCCCTCAGTTTGCTGTGATCGACCTGATTCCCCCATACAGGGGAATGCACTTGTGTACTTGCACACCGTTGGAGGCAGGATGGATGGAAGGTGGTCGGGAACCGCTAAGCGCCCACTTCCGCCCCCCCCTCAAGTAAGCGCCGGGCGCCCTGATCCGGAAGCACCTGGCCTCGGTGGCTCCAGTGGCACGGCCCCTCACAGGGTGGACGGCAGGTGAGAGAAGGCCCACGGGTTGCGCTGGCTGACGAAGGCAGCACGGCGCCTGCTCCCAGTTAACCGCGCATCACCTGTTGATGGCCCCAGGGCAGGACAGGAACCTGTCCTGGCGCGGTTTGTACATCAGGGACATGCAATATCGCGACAGCCGGGCTATGGGGAGGCACTGCGGCGTACGCTGTGGATTTCTATCGTGAGAACCTTTCTCCGCGCGCCCAGCAGCCCGGAGAGCACGGGCTGACGTGGGTTGCCCGAGTCTGTGTGGCGGGGAAGAAGTTGTGAATTGAGCGGAGCCAGCTGCCCGGCAGATCCAGGGAATGGACTCCGTTGGGGGACGTCGCTGCGGGATTGGAAACGTTTGCGAAAGGGTGGCGTGCAGTCCTCGGGACAGTCAATGAACGTTTGGCACAGCTGCCCTTCCTGCTGTACACGGCTCGGAACTCAAACTGCGCCTTGCTTTCGGTGGACAAGGGAAGGCTGTCCGCCCAGCGATACAGTTTCGCATCCCCTGCGTTTAAGCTTGTTGAGCTGAAGTACGCTGCCGGCAGCCGCCGAGAGAACTCGCGCTGCCCTTCGTCTGGTGTGCTTGTCTGCCGCCACGCTTATTGACTCCATGCGGCGACAACAGTTCAGATGCACGCCTTCTCTCCCTTCCCTGGCGCGCTCTTTACCCAGGAAGGCACCCTGAGAAACTGTTCAGCCCCAAAGTCGGTCGTGCTGCACGGGAATGTCCATGCCTGTCAGATCACAGTTGCGGACACATCGCAGTACAATAACCACAGGGGGTATGCACATGCGGAATAGCTCAGGGAGCTTGGGAGGCAATTCCCGACTTAGGGGCGTTGATCTGGCTCCCTCACAGGACATGTCAGAATTCTCGTCAATCGGAAGGGATGCTGTGGCCCTTGCGACCAAGATGAGGGGCCAACAGGCACGGCACAACCAGCGGAACTGCCGCAACCTGTTGGGCAAAATTGGTTCCCTGGAGTCCGTATTGGGGAGCTTGATAGATTCAACCTCTCAAAGTGCCAAGGAGATGCCGATGGTGCTGGCGAGCATGGCCCGAGTCAAGGCTGCAATGAGGGAAGCTGCAGACCTGATAGCCCGGGCCAGCTCCATGGGTGAGCTGGCTGCATTCGTGAGGGCCCCCACACTCACAGAGGACTTCACCTTGGTTTCCGTGTGGCTAGCGGATGCAGTTGAAGGTACAGTTGCAATGCCATACCAAGAGTTTTGGAGGTGAACAGCTACTGAAAATGGTCAAGGCAGCCGAAAATTTCCATGTTCATTCCTTTCCGGCTGCTACACATAGATATGGTGCAGTTTTCATGCACCTGTCTCTGATCTTTTGAAGATGTTATGTCGCTAAAAGGGGCTCTGAAGAGAGCAGCTTGAGGACCTTTGAATGACCGCAGGAACAGAATCTATTCAATTCACAGCTGCTCGCCTCTGATAGGAAACATTGTTCATATTGCAGGACTGGAGCCTGTCCTCTCTGCTGTCCCACATTGTGCAAGGCTGAAGCAGAAAGTCGACAAGCTGGCATCTGGGTTGAGGGCCATGGAGTACAGCAGTGAATTGGAGGAACAACAGAAGAGGCAGCTTGATGAAATGTGTCAAGTGATGTTGCACATCAATACACATGCCATCAGCAGAGATAAGGGAACAGAAAAACTGGCTGATCTGCTGGAAGGTGCACGTGGGACAATCGAAAGCGAGGCAAGTGTAGACAGGTCTCATATTTGGCAGCCTCATTAGCATCGTTTCGTGCTCCGTGAGTGGCTGTTTGCATGTGCTGTGGATTATTTAAAGACAGTTGGCAACTGCAATGTCTTGGCAATGGCGCCGCTTGAAGTGATTCCTTATGTGCTGAGCAGTTCTTTTGGTCCATCGAAGAATGAAATTTCTTTTCATGGTGGGGAAGATGTGTCCATCGCGATTTGGTCATCTGCATAACACCCATTCTCTCTACTGTGAAAGAGAGTGAAAGATACAGTGAGGCGTGCCACCCAAGTCCAATGTTCGGCATTTTAGATGGCCAAAGCTGTGCTTACAGGATGTGGAGTCATTCCTTGACGAAGTTGCAACTGGAGTTTACCGGGCAAGGCAGAGAGGGAATCGCCAGGAGGAAGACCTGATGGAGACGGTACAAACCGCAGTCTGCTGCCACCTGTTGCACCAAAACCATTTGCAAGTCCCGTCAGACTTCACCTGCCCCATTACACTTCAAATAATGAAGAAGCCAATGATGGTCGTGGAAACAGGGCATACCTATGACGAAGAAGCTATCACAGAGTGGTTTGCAAGAGGCAGAAAGACGTGCCCCACAACGGGAGTCGTCCTGGAATCTATGGCTACTACGCGAAATATTTCTGTGCAGCGCATGATCGACGATTGGGTCACAGAGAATGGCCCAGTCACTGGGTTTGCATGGGGCAAGAGGGATGGGACCCGGGTTAAAAAGGTGAGATTGTGGATTTGCAACTGATGTGGTGCTGCAGAACCACCCATTGTACTTTGACATAAGCCTACTGGTTGTGCAGTTGTGTGTTTCGTAGAATCCCATAGAAAGCTGGCTGCGGTGTTTCATTTGCGTTCATGGTCTGCATGTTGCAACAGGAATATGGCTTGGGAAGAATATAGGGGGCTCTAATTTGCACCAGAGGATGGATACCTACGGTGCGCTTCTTGAAAGCCATCTCTGTGGATAGTCAGATGCAACAATATTTCCACAAGGGCTTCAACCGTGGCACATTGCGTTGACAAGAACAGTTTGCTGTCATAGACCCCGCCAAAAGAACCATTAATACCCACGACGCCACCGGAAGCCCCACGGAAGCAACCACTGCAGCCTAAGCGACAAGCAACAGCTTCGCAAGAATACCCCAAGAGCGCAGAGGTGACACAATGCCCTTCAGAAGTACCTTTTTCGTATTGCAAATGCAGCAGGCGACTTTTTCTAGTTCAATGAATACCAAATGAAAGGAGTTCCAACGTGCATGGCAGCGCAGGTCAAATGGAAATGTAATTGCAGTGTGCTTTCTGCGTGAGCGACGGCTGGCCTATGCGTTTCATGCCTTTCTTGTTGGTCGTTTTCATCATTTTTCATTTCCAGCTGTGTCTCCCAAAGCACTTCCATTTCCCTGTGCTCTCCTTGCGATGCCGTTGGCATGTCAGCACGGACAGTGGCTCTCATTCACTGTTCACTGTTCATGTGATGGCTTTCCCACAGCAGCCGCCCCCTGCCAGTACCAAAACCAGCCTGAAACTCAATCATCTGGCAAAGTGGGTAACCGAAGAGGCAATCAGGAGCCTGTTCAACAAGTTCGGCAGGATCACTTACTGCGTCGTCAAGAATGGAGCCCAGCCGTCGAGCGACAATTATGGATACGTTGAGTTCGCCAGCTTGGAGCAGGCGAGGGCCGCGATTGCGGCAATGAACGGCTACAAAATGGGCGACCTCAAGATGGAAGTGAAGTATGCAAGGAAGACCTGAAGTGAAGCACGCAGTGAAGACTGGCCAATAGACTTGCTGAATGTCCATTTCGTCCCAAAGAGACAATGTGCCAGGAAGTCACCTTCAGCGGATGACAAGGATTTGGAGGGGGAGTGTACTGTGACGCAAATTGCGATGGGCCACTGTTTGGTGACCGTAAATGGTGGCCGGGTTGTTCGGGCTCGCCATGCGGGCAAGCAGTGGGAAGGGGATTGGGGGGAAGAACGCGTTAGATGCAAACAAGCACGGAGGCTGAAGCTTCTCTAATACCGCGACGTACCCCCACCCTACCTTCGGAGGCGAGCCATGATATTTCGAGATGACGTTGCGAGATATTGAAGGGGTTGTCGTCTGTGTAAACATACAAAAGCTGTGAGGATCGGTTCGGCAAGCGGCTGTGAGTCAGTACTGCCCTAAATGTACCGCCACAAATGGAATTATCTGACTGCCAAGCTCGGAGACTCCCTTTTCATCGGTTACTTGCAAGATTGTGAGGGCGACCCTTTCACAACGCATCACGGGTGCTGCCCATTGCCCTTTTGGTTGAATGTTTCAATGAAATGCGCAGAACACCTCAGTGCGTAATCGCGATGGCGCGATACATATCGAAGCCAGCGCACATATGTTTTTGCAAAAGGTACCCTTTCTACGATTGCAAACCTAAGATCCTTTGTCTTGTAGATTTCCCGCCATTGCGTTGTGTGTCAAATTTTGCGAGCGTAAGTCTGATTAAAATAGCATGTAGCTACATGCTATTTAACCCTATAGGGGCAGATGTCCCCTGGCGAGGGTCCCTGCCAGAGCTACCCGGTGGCTCGCATCCACTTGCACTTTAAGCGTGTCCCTAACACTAAAACATATTCCGAAATGCTGCATAGTTTTTGCCACACAAAAGGCACAGTAGGCATTATGCGTAATGCCGTGTCAGATAGCCCTCAGATGCCTCCATATGAAAACGGATAGAAGTTGATGGTATTTTGTGTGTGCAGTGCCGCGGATGCAGCCCAGCATAACGCTTCAGCCAGCCAAATGTTTCAGCACTGAACCCCAACTTGGCACATACATCAACTGTTGACGATGTTGATCTACGGATACTTACAGAAGCGTTGCTTGCGATTGTGCCAAAGGAAATGATGCCACAATGTTGCACCAACATCTACCCTTTCCCCAGACGCCAGGACAAGGGACAGAAAACTGAAACACCAAACCAATGTATTTGAAATGCAGAGTCAGGAAACATATTTTGCACCCTGGGGCACGTGAACATTGTACCCTTTTTCTCACAAAAATTTCCTGTGAGTGACTCAGTAAAGTGGTGCTGCAAGACGTACTTACCTTTAGCTAATTGTGTGGCGCACTGAGCGGAATTGCAACCAAGCCTTGGGCCTCTGATGAGATTAGATGAGTTCTGTTGCCTGCAGGGTAACGCGAAATGCACCTGTCAAGCAAGATGTTCCTGCCCCTTGAATTGCGTTTAGTGCGGACGAGTTCACGTCGTGCGTTGTCTGTGAGCCTGTACCGGTCTGTGGGAACAGCAGCCACCCACGTGCGCATCGCGCCGGGGAAATTCCTACCCATTGGGCGCGTCCAATCCCCAACCGCCACATCTTCGGCCAGTTTCGACGGACCCCAGCCGTTTACAAACAGTTACAGCAGCGCCTCTCGGCTGGCACAGTCATGAGGATGACTGCACGTACATGCCCCCCCTCGCCGATCCTGCTTCCCATTGGCGCCAGTTCCGGCGCTCATCTGTATCACCAGTGGTGGGAAGCTGGTGGGGCACTACAAGAGCGAACTTGCAGGCTGCAGCCTGCGCAGCACACCCCCTACCCCTCCTCTTGCCAGCGCAGGCCTCCTCGGCCGCCACTGGGGATTTCTTCCGCCACCCCCCACGCGGCTGGACAACAGGTAGGGCACCGGTGGGCACCGACGGTGCGCGTTGCTCTTCTGCTGGGAAACACGGGCGGGCGGTTCTAGAGGCATCTAGGTTACTGCGATGGAACTAGGGTCCGGCCGTCAAGAAAGGCCCGACGTGTCCATCAGGTACGACGGCTTGGGCGAACCCCTCACTCGGTCCCTGAAAAGGGATCTGGGAGGAGTGTTGCAAAGGGGGTGTTGTGTTTGCGGTTGTTGCTTTTTGGTGCTTGCCAGCTGGATGGGTGCTTCAGCACAGGGACCTTCCGGAGCTGTTGGTCAGCAGCCACTGCGGTGACCCCAGTTTATTCGTCTCTCCAGCGGAGCAGCCGACCGGAATGTTGCAGTTGGCAAGCATGAGTGTTGATTGGTTTATGATTAGCCGCGGCGGGCGCTGTATTGACAGTGGCAGTGCGGAAGGGGTGTTCACCAGGCTATCTTTTGCAGGCTGTCCCCAGTGGGGCCCGCTGGCGGGCTGTGGTCTCGGAGAGGTGTCGGTTGGCTGTCCCTTTGCAAGCCCTGGGCTACTGTTATGGGTCCGGCAGTGCCTCTGGCGCCTCTGCTGCCAATGCTCTGAATTGGTTGGGGCTATCCTGGTCGGCTGCTGTACCGTAGCCGGACCAACCAGAGGCGTCAGCGTGCTGCCCAGACAGTGATATTGCAGTGATTGATACGCTACAGTGGCGTGCGCGTGTAATTTGTCGCAGGGAAGATCACCTCTGCTAGTAAGGGCCCACCATAGCACCTTGTGGCGTGTTGCACGCTCCCTTGCTCGCTGCTTCTGCTGCACTCGGACACTACTGTATCATCTTCCATCTGTTTGTTGTGAGAATGTTGCAAACCGATATGAAACTAATGTTGCCGGATGATCGCGAAGTCAGTAGAGACGCTTGGCGACGACCAGCGCGTCGCTTTCATTTTGCTGCACCGGTTGCAGCAATTCGCTCAGCCGATGATGTGCATAAAACTCCTGGTCGGGAAGGGGTGCCCACATTTGCAGTGTTCCCCCTCCTGCTAAAATGACCATCAACCGTGCAGGTAGAATGCTCGACATGCCTTCCATTGGCAAGGACATCCTGGACCTCATAGAGGGAATGGAGAAACATCCCAAAAGCCAAAACATCCAGAAATGCCACCGGCTGCTGGACAGCATACAGACTTTGAAGCCGTGGATTCGGAGAGCGATGGAGCCGCCGCTGCAGCCCAGCCCGCCGGCTCTGGCCAGCTTCTACAGGTTGAAAGTCGCACTGAGGGAAGCCAGCGGGCTGGTGGCTCGCGCCGGCTCCATGGGGAGCCTTGCTGCATTCGTCCAGGCGGACGAAGTGAAAGACGAATTTACGTCCGTGTCAAGGTGGCTCGCAGACTCCATTGCAGGTGAAGATGTGTGGGTGATTGCGTTCGAAAATTTCATGCACTAGTAGAAAACAGCCTGTTTGCGATGCCAGCTGCGATGCCATTTTGACACAAATTGATGCCATCATAGCCCCTTTTATGCCATCACACTCACTGTGACGGCATCAATTTGTATCAAAATGGCATCACAGCTGGCATCGCAATCATGGCGTTTTCTACCAGTGATGGGCGATGATGCTCCATTCAAAAGTACTTTCTCTGTCCAGAATCATGGGTCGCCGTTTGAAGAAACCAATGTAAAACAGGAGTAAAAACTCAGTTGTCAATTTGAACGCTGTATTCGGGAAGACCAGTTCCCGATAACCTAGCAGGCGCCATCCCACCATTGAATGCCGAGTCTATTTATTGTGCCCGCATCAAGCTCGCCGCCTTTTGTCAGGAACCGGTGGTTCATGTAACCGTAGGCGGCATCGCTTCTATTGCGCGACGCTGCCTGCATTTTAGTAGGCCTATTGCTTCAAGACAACTTGCGCCACTTTGAACTGCAATGGCCTTGGCACCCACACCAACCACAGTAGTCGCTGGAAAGGGCACCGCCATGGGGCGCCATTTTGTTGGTTTGGCAAGACCTTGGAAAGTATCGAATTCTCAGCTGTGGTGGTGTGGGTTCAAAGTGCTATAATTTACTCTGCATGGGGTAGCGCCTAAGAAAGATGGAGCGCATTATGTATGCTCGTAAACCACATCCTGGCTTCATTTCAGTACAAAGCAACAAGTTTATGACAAAAAATAGTAATCCCACACAATAGGCGACATTTGATTGTATATAAATGAAGAACTTGTTTGTGTTCACCTGGGCTAGAAAATTGTGCGCTTTCGTGTGTCGTTTATATAACATACATCGAAGTAGGACTAATCGCTGTGGGCTATTGGATTGTGTCGAACAAATGCAATGGAGCGAGTTGGAGCTACAGATTTCTCTTCATTTCACATGTGCACTCTAATGTAAAATGGAAGCGGCCAAAGCATTGAAAGCCTTCATACGTAGCTATCAAGTGAGGGGTTTGTTTCCTCGAATTTACTTGCCATCAGCAGCGTTCCTGACATGTATCAGCATGCGCTCATGATACTTTTAAGAGTTGCTGCTCAGTTAGAGAAGGTAATAGCTCAGCATTGCTTGAACTCAACGGAATTATGTGGTCATCAAAACCAATTGATGCGGGCAGCAGGCCAACTGGCATCATTGAACATATCCATGGTGGCCAGCACGAGCTGAGCTGCAGACATTCAGAACAGAATCAGCGTCCTTTGGATACGCAGTACCAACGTGTAACAGCTTTTGGACGCATCCCACCACGGCGTTGTGGGTGTTCTCAAAATGCAGGTAGCCAGGTGTGGTGCATGACCGGCCTTCTTCTGGAATTGTATGATGTCGGATTTGTTAAGAGTGAAACGGTGTATGTGTAATAAAAATATCGAGGCAGGCACGCTCTTACAAATATGTCTGCTGCACATGCAGACGTCCATCTGAAGGAATTAGGCTTCCAGGATGGTGCTGGTGTTCAATTGGATGCTGAGGGTCTGGCGGAGCAACTCAGGGGAATGGAGTACGAACTGGAGCTGAGCAACGAAAAGCTGAGGCGGTACAAAGAGATGCGCAGCATACTGGGTGAAATGAGCACAAAGAGAACCAGCCCTGAGGAAGGGACTGCTCTTTTGTCAGAGCTTTTTGGTGACGTCTTTGGGGAAAACAAAATCAAGGTGCGACGAGCTGACAATGGCGACCTGAGCTGTGATGGATGATACCCATAGTCTAAAAGCACCACCCTTAAAACCTCGTAGGGAACAAAATCCATTGTCTGAAACCTCCTATACAGGATGAATTCCCCTTTCAGCAGTGGGTGTGTGTCCATGTGAATACGCTATAAGTTGACAGTGAACACATGAGAATGGTGTCAGACTCTGAAGTGTTCGTTCAACACGAGAGGCAAACGAATATGGGCAGGATTACATTTGTTTAGGCGATATTTGGCACCGCCGTTTTAATCATTATCGATTATGGCCCGAATGTGCTCGTTTCGAGCCTTGTGCACATGACATCATGTTCGATTTCATGACTGCGAAGATGGCAAGTGAGCCCCGGTTGCCACTAAATTTTGCCCCAGTTAATTCAACATGAATTGTCTGCCCAGTGTCTGCTCAACTCGAGTAGAACTTACCTCCGGAGCTCATCGGTTCCCTGTGCTGGCGTCAGGAGGAACTCCTGACATTCTTCGACGAGATCGCAAGTGCGATCTTCAGGGCCAGGGCGAGGCCCTTGGGAAGTTTGGACGCCCATCTGGACGAGACCTCTTTGGGGAGAGTCCAACAGGCAATCTGCGACCTGATGACTCCAAAAACCCCCAGCACACCTCCGCAGAACAGTGAAATTCCCGCCGATTTGCTGTGCCCCATCACCCACAAGCTGATGGAGAATCCCACCATGCTTGTGGAAACAGGGCACACCTACGACGCGGAAGCCATCGAGAACTGGCTGGCGCAGGGGAACAGAACCTGCCCGACAACTGAGCAGCCTTTGTCATCCACCAAGACGGTTATCAATATCGCTATCAAGCGTATGGTTGAAGATTGGAAGGAAAAGAACCTTGATTATGGGGTTCCTTCACCTACGGCGTACAACCGAGGGCACCAAACTCCAGAGGTGAGATCAGACTTCTACAATTGGTGTAATTATGATAAGAGTACATAGGAGTGGACTGAGGCGCGTCAGCTATATAACGCCACCTGCGGACAGTCATAGCACTCCTAGTTGAAAATGAGATCTATTTGTTATATTAAGTGCCGTGCCACTTAGTGCCTTTCCTATGTCGAAGCAAGTTCAGTGCCACTGTGGTGGCGCACATCATAAGCAGCATATGAGTTACATCATATCTGACACTTCTACTAATTGCCCCATAATATTTGATTTATATGCACCCTCGAACATTAATTTTGCGTATTAGCGCAGCTTAAGGCAGTCACAGGCGCATGTTCTTCGAATTCTGATGCGATGTCTCTAATTGATTACGTAGCCTTGTCGCACCCTCCCTTGCTGCGTTCGGGTTGATCACCGAATACTATTTCCAGCTTGGAGATTTGCAACGCAAATATTGCATTCACACAGCTTGAAGTGAGGCACATCGCAAATCTTGGAGCGACTGAAAAAAACACTCGAAGGTACAGATAATGCCGTTTAAAAGTTTGCTGTATCATAGCCTGTGAAGGCATTACATGGGAAATAATTTGACAGGCGCGTCATAGCATTTGTTACATTGCTTAACCCCGATAGGCGCATACAGCGTCTCTAACATTGTTTAAGTGCACATCCTTAACCATGCGTAGCTGCGTCGATATTTTGACGAAGCATTTTTTCCTAGCATTTGAACATGGCCGTGAACGGATTGAATGAAGATTGGGTGCAAATGCGTTTGCATTAGATAAAACTTAGTTTTGCGCATGTTAGAAAAGATCGCCGCCCACAAATTACTGCAGCGCGCTGCCGTCGCGGCAGCAGAAGGCGCACAGTGCATTCCGGGGATCGCCGCGTTTCCGGAAACGCGACCATGAGTAGCTCATTGCGTATATGTCCGCTACATACACAACACTGCGCACAAGAATGCTTACTTGGCTGGGCGCACGTTGCCTTCGCGTCAGTACTGCAACAAAATGTTCAGTGGCGACAACATTCAGAACAGAACGTTTGGAGCGTTGTGACGGCATTCCACGCAAAAGCGGTCAAGCAGAAACAAGGGGGAAATTTAAGGTACTTGGGAGGTGAACGCCGCAAAGCTGATTTTCTATAGTTCAGCCTACGAATGTGTGCGGATACAGCCGTAATCTCAGGAACAATGCAGAGAGCTTCTCCTGGCCCATATTACCAGCTCATACTACACAGGCGGGTGAGCGTACTGCGTAACCGACTGCGAGCTCCTGTGCTGTCCACAGCCCCCTGGTCCACCTGGTCACAGCAGCACCAATCTCAAGCTGAACCACCTGGCGTCGTGGGTCTCCGAGGCGGCATTGCGGAATCTCTTTCAAAAGTATGGCACTGTCACATCCTGTATCGTGAGGCCGCCCAACCACCCTTCCGGCCACAAGTTCGGTTTTGTGGAGCTTGCCACCACGGAGCAGGCGGAAGCGGCGATAGCGGGCATGAATGGGTACCTCATGGGAGACCTCAAGATGGAGGTCAAATTCGCGAAGATTGGCGGCCGTGGGCACCCGCAGGCGCAGGGGCGCGCCCGAGGCAGCAGTCCGTACAGCACCGGCAGGGATAGCAGACGCCGTGGAGAGTCGTCGTCCCATACACCCGCACTTGACCCCAAGGAAAAACGCAACTTGTACGTGAACCATCTCCCTCATTGGGTGGACGAGGCGCAGCTGAAGAACCTCTTTCAGGAGCATGGCACAATCACCTCTAGCCGGCTGATGAACCAGCATCCTGGCGAAAGCACCAAATACGGGTTTGTGGAGTTTGCGACAGTGGCCCAGGCCATGGCGGCCATCGACAGGCTGAACGGCTACTCCATGGGCGATCAGAAGCTTGTAGTAAGGACGGCCAAGTGCAAGCGCGAAGCGCCTTCCAGTGAACCGCCTCCGCAAGCGGCGCACACTGGAGGGGCGAAACTTTACATCAACGGGTTTCCCCCGCAGTGGAGCGAGAAAGACCTGGAGTCCGTGTTCAAGACGGCCGGTAATGTGCGAGAGTGTCGGGTGGTCCGCCGAAACAACGAGGGCGGCGGGGCGTATGGATTTGTGACGATGGGAAGCGCGGAGGACGCGGCAGAGGCAATTGAAGTCTGGCACAACAAATGTCATAGGGACTGCACCAGGCCTCTGAATGTGAGGTATGCAAACACGCCGGGAACCAGGGGCTGGTAGCCGGCAATCGTTGCTGAAGGCGGTTCAATGGCGGGCGCTCTGCTCCTGTTTGAAAAACACTTAGGCCTCGAATGACCTCCTCGGTGCGCAAGAATGACGGACGGGATCCGGTTCTGTCGAGGAAAATCTAGACGATGATGTATAGAAAAGGTCTACCACTTCCACGAGAGCGAGTTTTATCGTTGTTCAATGATCGACAAGTGGGAACGCGAGCAAAGGCTCCGAGGTTGCAGAGATGAATGGGGCATTGTGTGATGAAGTCTTCCCATGTGTAGGGTGCCGATGTGCTTGCTTATGTTGACATGCAGCGACGCTCTGCGTATTCTGCGCCTTTGTTCTTTAGCAAAACATCTCGATTTGTACACAGGCGTTGTAAAAATATTGCGCACCTGGACTGCTACAATGCGCGAGGCTGGAAGTGATAACGCACTGAATGTGGTTGCCATATTCTGGACATGCATATTCGCAATTCAGACTATACCCATGTACTCACCCACAATCTGCTCTGTAATATAGATTCTATATCCATCATATTAAACCCGATATCCCTTATATGCATATGCATCCTGGATATGGTCATATCATGTAGATGAACAATTCACATGAAGTGTCCATCTATATAATATGACCATATCCATGATGCTGTACCCACGTAATATTCATGATTCGAGTAAAGAAATGGGAGCTTCATATTGAGGTTACGTGAGTATTCCACTGACCATTGGAAATCGGAAGCTCGTTTGCGCGGAAGCCTATGGTTCTCAGCCGCAAAAACGGTGCTCCGTTGTCTTTTCCAGGGAAAGTGGTAAACTATTGAAGGCGCCGCGTGCACCCACCCAGCACATTTGTCATCTCGAACCTTCGTTCTGACAACGCCGAAACACTGCTCGGTTGGTTGAGTACAACATGATATCTGACAAGAAATTGCATCCAATCATCAGAGCTGCAGCCCCACCACAGAGCTGCAGTCCCAGCACCACACTCCTTCACGGAGCCATCAGAAAATGCCGACAACACCTCGTCCCTAGCTATGCCACTCTCGTGGCGCAACAGAGCTGCCGCAGCCTCATGTGCAGGCGGCATGACAGCATCCACCGCATCCAATGAATTTCAAATTAAGTCCCAATTCGGAGCAGGTACAATTCCACTCCTCCCTGCGAAATAGACAGCACGGCGATGCGGCAAAAAGACTGGAATCTGAAAGACGGCGACTTACTTTCTACTTCGTGCTTCAAAAAGTTGTTATGGCAATAGCCATGGCAATCGCCAAGCACCTCCCGCTGGAGTTAAATGGATCTGTTGATTAAGAAGCCGGGATTACAGCGCACAGTAATGCACAAACTCGGTGCCGTATGGGATATCGATTCACCAAGTAGCTACTGTAGTTGGCGCCTCTCAGCGCCACAGGGCCGTCCAAACCGTCCCATGAAATAAGACTGAACTAAGCGGCATCTGGCAGTATCTAGCTGCTGCTACATTGTGATGTTGCCATATGCAGCTTCGCCCAGCTTGCGACAACAAAAGTCTGCTAGCTATTGCTTCAAAGATGGTAAATGGGCAGCGCCCTTCCAAACTTTGTACATGAATGTGACTTCCATCCTCGAGTCACCACAGAATCGCTACATGGTTGAAGACTATTTGCAGCACAACGCTCGTCACACCAATAACAAGACGTTGCTCTCAAGAAAAGGCGCAAAGTATTCCACCGCAGCAAGGGGGCCTAGCAGCGTTCCCTCAACGTCGCAAGGAGGGATTGGTGAGGGATGGGGGGACGTCGGCGGTGCTTACGAGGTTTGTCGCAGGGGCTGGGTGAGCGGGTCTTCGAAGACCCAAATTCGGCTGGGGGATGAGGGTCCGTTTGTACACCCAGGCGTCTCAGTAAAATCTTTGTGGCCCGTTGTCAGGGAGGCATTCAGTGTACTGAATGGAGAGGGTTGTTTGTATTTGCCACGAAATCAGTGTGTGGCACACAGTCTCTGTCACGACCCTGAAGCAATTGAGAACGCTTTCTCGTCAAGCCATCGTACTTCAAGCTTTCCCACAATCAGACAAGATCTCCAATGTTCCAAATACCCACCAGTTCGGACCAATCCTCATCATGACTTCATGGTGCGCCGCCCGAGTTGCCGAGCGTCACGCCACGGTGGTGCAGCACAGGGAAAAGCGAAAATCTATGATACGGCACATAAGTCGTCAAATTCTACAAGAAAAAGATGCTGCGTCACCCGTCGATTATTCCGCAATCATGGCACAGAACTGAAGGACTCCAAACGCTGCGGTGCGGCACCACAACCGCGAGAATCAATAGTGTGGATCACAGATTTTCCCGGACGAGTGTTACGCCACTTCACAAGCCAACTTACATCTTGGAACATCGCAAGTCGTCCATTGCCTCGTGGTGTGCCACCTCAGTGGTCAGTGGTCCCATACCAATGTTGCCCAACAGAAAGGCGCCCCCATCTACAGGTGCTCTTCAGAAAGTCGCCATATATCTTGAAGTGGCACCACACCAACTTGGGTGCGCCTTGTCAGAGTTCACTTTCCTGCAGCATGCACCCAAGTAGTGCTAGTCTAGTCGATATGCAGGCGCGTTAACCCCCCAAGGATCTCCTCAACACTCTCGGGGTACAAGTAGTTTGGAGTGGCCTGAAATTTGATGTTGCGATCTTTGGGCAGATGGCTCCTTGCAGAGCGGTTCGGCGTCTGCTCTTGATGTCCTCAAATACGATTCGTATACTCCCAGCAGCTCAGATCATTATGCCGTCATTTGGGCTCTGATCCAGGCTATTTTTAAGGGCCCTGAATTACACCCACAATACTTGGAGAGATGGTAAGGTGGACAATGGTTGGTTGAATAGAGAACGGCACATGCAAGAAGACTTTTCGTGGCACCAGATGATGACCACCGCTTCGCCCAGGGGATCGGTTATTTCTCATGGTAGCGGGTTGCCAGCAAATAAAACCACAGGACATGTTATGTCGGATGGCTCAAGCAAATTTCCACTGTGCATATGACAGAAACGAGATTGATTCATAAATGCTCAGGACTGTCGTCTCAACAGAACATGAGAATCGTTGGGCCTCAATTGGTACACGGGGTGCCTTTTCGATCGCCCGCATGTCTCTCTTTGCGACAGCATGAGCTTGTTGGATCAGGGTTGCCATCTTGAGGGATTTTTGTTTGAAAATGGAAGAAATGCTGTACAGTTAAGAGATATGTATTTTCACCAGGTTCTCTTGTCAGCAAGATCCTCTTGCAGATCCTCTTTCTCGCGGGCTCACAATATTCGGATATCTCTTTCAGCTGTCCATTCGGATTTCGCAAATTTTCTAGATCTTGGACATCTGCCGTTGAGATGTTTGAAAATGGCCACATGAACGATTTGATCTGTCCAATGCGCAATATTTGAGGTGAAGAATGAAGTTGTGAGGCCGAACATCTCACTTCCTTTGCCTGATTTCTTTGACCATGGAATAAGTATAGGGACTCTGTTCCTGTTGCTCATACGTCGTGCTGGTTTTTGAGTGAAAAGACATCTGTGGCATGGTTTGTACGCCAGGTACGTCGGAAAGAAAGTGGATATCCTGGATATGCATATCCAGGGTATGCCCATATGCCTGGATATAGGCCGCCCATATCCAGGATATGTATATTGTCCCATATCATATTCCATAATACGGATATGGGTGAGAATGTGGGCGTTGCCAAATTCAAGGTTACGCAACTTTTTTCTGACGTATACGTGAGGAACGAGGTGGCACGTGAATCAACTTGCCTGTGTGTGTGTGTGCTGTCGATGCTAATCGACTTGCATGGATACCTGGGATGGTCTAGGTATGTGATTAATGGAATGCACTGTTTTGAATTTGGTACACTTAGCTCCAATGTGACGTTAAGCTCCGCCCCCCCTCCCCCCACTATGCCCATTGGCCCAAAGAGCCCTCGCCACATCTGGAGGGTCCACAGGAACTGTACAAGCCAGCTCCTGGGTTACAATCTCTCCGTTCCAACAATTTTAGTGCCACCAACGCTGTGCAGAAATGCTTCGCACCTCCAGCTGGATGCCTGCAGGCATGTTCCCAAACGACGAGTCACGGAAGAGGAGGCGACTGTCCACATGATGACGATGGGTGATGAGAAACTGGGGATGGGAATTGCCATGCCCAGGCGGAAACCGACCCCAGTGAACCGCCTTCGCAAAGAGCGCACACTGGAGGGACGGTACTTTACATCAATGGGTTTGCTTCTGAGTGGAATGAGAAAGACTTGGAGTCCGTGTTCAAGACGGCTGGGAACGTGAGGAATTGCCGGGTGCTCCCCCAAAATAACGGGAGCGGCGGGTGTACGAATTCGTGGTGATGAGAAATGCGGAGGACGCGGCAGAAGCAATTGAAGTCTGGCATGACCAATGGCACAGATACTACACCAGGCCCCTGACGGTGATGTATGCAAACGCGCCGGGAACTAGCGGCTGAGGGCTGATAACGATTCGATGGTGGCCACGTTGAAGCATGTTTTCAATCTCTTAGGCATCGAATGACCACCTCAAGCACGCAGCCATGATGGTCCGGTCCCAGCACTATTAGAGATCTTTTATGAGATGTTTTTGAGAATTGCTTTCTGCAATCCCATGACAGGAGTTGTCCGTTCTTCCTCAACTGACGAAATAGAGCACGAGGGATAGTTAAGAGGCTGCAGCCATGAATCAAGCATAACGTGTCAGGCTGCCCCACGCGCAAGGTGCTGATACCTTTATCTGTGTTGACTTGAGGGACGTGCTGTGCAATTGCGCTGTTTCAATTCTTGGATATTTGAAAAAGTGCCTTGATAAACATGCATGTTGAGTGCGTGCAGTTAGGGAATTTTGGAGGAAACCCGAATGACTAGATTTGTGGTTGTTGTGTAGTCTTTCTATGGGCATGTCCTTCTCTGTTCCATATTGTTGAGGCCCCATGTCCTGGATATGAAGGGACCATGTCCAGGATATGGCGTCCGCATA